GCGGGAGCGAATCGCTGCCCACCGAAAGCGTGCGCAGCATCTGCTCACCGGCCCTCAGGGTGCAGAGCTACCCAGGCAGCCGGGGCAGGAGGGGATGGGCAGTGAACAGGACATCAAAAAGAAAAACAAAGAAAAGTATGCGATGGCCTGAGGTCTGGGCTTGCTATTTTTAAATAGGGGATTGTTGCCAAAATAGCATAGCTGCTTTGAAGCAGCAGGGGACTGTGCTGAGGTTCAGGACCTCCGAGGCTGTCGGGGGCAGGGACCAGTGCTGCTGCACAGACACGGCTGGTGACCCCGGCCACAACATCACCCTGATGGCTTCACTGGTGAAGACTGAGACAGGCGCTTACGGAGCCTCCACAAGGAAACTGGAAGCGGGGAACGAATGCCAAAACCTCTAATACTTGCCTTACCTGTTGACTCTGCGTGGACATTTGTCAGGCTTGATATCCACTTCATAATGATACACATCAATCTTGGGAATGTCCACTTCAAAGTAGTTGGCCAAGAGCTTGATGGGCTTCCCAACAGTTCCTATCCCGGGCCGACGTGGCGCTTGAAATACCTGCTGCAAGGGTGGCAGGTATGCACCTGCAGCTGCGGGGAGAGAAAACGGGTCAGGAGGGCTGGGAGAAACCCCGTGCCCAGACAGACGGACAACGCAGAGGCACAGCGCTCTCCGTCACCGCATCCCGAACCGGGAGGTCGCCCACTACTCACCCTCCTGGCAGGAGGTGGCGGTGGCAGAATTTGGACCAGCACAGCTGTAAGCAGCTTCCCTGGGCACCACCCGGCAAGCGCCGGTGCCAGCCAAGCCATCAACGGGTAGTGCCAAAGCCTCCGCTCCGCTGTGCCGCCACCAGCTGTGCAGATGTCAAACCACCCACCGACAGATAAATCATCGCTGCTCCGCCTTAGGGAAAGGACCTCATCCGGGGCTACGCATGGCAGCAGTACGGACCTCCGGAGGACAAGGGACTCCCGTCGCCCACCCCGACCATGGGCACACCCACGTCCTGGCATACACCGCATTAACCGTAACTCATTTCCCTGACCAGATGCAGGCACAGAAGGCCACATTCGGTTCTCCTGACACCGAAGGTGAGGTTGTACCTAATGTCCACATTAAGAGAGCTTTGAAAGCGCCCACTGTGCTTCTGCAAAGCTGCACCTCAACTTCTGTTTCACACAAGAAACATCGCAATATACAAACCAGAACAGCAGCAAGAAACTTTCCAGCCCTGGTTTTAAAAAGCCTCATATCCGCACCAAGAGTTCGCCCAGGTCTGCAGCAGCAACCCTTGCCTGAAGTGCATGGGAGACATCCGCACACTGACCGAGCGAGGATACACTCAGAGCAAGGCCAGCCCTCCCAGGGTTGTGGTGGGTTTTTACTGCCCATCCCTTCCCCAGCTCCTGCAGGAGAAAGCCCTCCGACAGCATCTCTCCAGGCACCCCCAGCATCCCATCCTGCAGGACGGCGTTTGCCGACCAGCGAGCACAGAGAGGGCCGAGCATCGCCTGCCCCGCTGCACGGCGGCGACATCAAAGCCGACCCACGCTGGGCTCCTTTTTTTTTAAGCGCAGCTCCGAAAATAGCCCAGGTCTGACAGCTCCCCAGCGCCGAGCAGGAGGCGGCACCGGCCTTGCCGGGTTGTGGGGTGAGGAGAAACGGGACGTTGTTGTGAACCCCAAAGAAGAAAGCGCCCATCTAATGCTGCCAAGGGGCTTTGCCACAAACAGAGCGGTCTCGCCCAGTCCCATCTGCCAGCTGTGGCTGGTCCATACGCTCTACCCCTGCCTCCACGCCTTCAGCTCCTGGAACGCCCAGGGCTGGTTTTAGCAGAGAAGGGGTTTGCCGGCACCCTCTGCCCCGGCACCAGGGCTGGGGTGGTCCTGCCATGGGGAGCTCAGCCAGGCCGCCCCGGCAGCCTTTGTCCCGCAGCCAGACCAGCCCCTGCCCCGCTGATTTACAAGCCAGCGCCAGCACAATGGGGAGGCTCTGCCCGGCGGGAGGAGGCGAGGGACCACATCTGCTCTGGGGAGAGAAATACGGCCCCGCCAAGACACCCAGAACTTCTGCTGGAGGCGAAGCGAGGGGCCGAGGAGCTGGCAACAGCCCCACCGCCTCCCTCCCCGTCGGCTCACGGGGCGCAGGCTACGGCATCTGCTGTACGGCTCCACCGGCACGGAGCTGCGGGTCTGCCCCGCTCCGAGGGGATGCAATTCCCTGGACACTCCGTCAGCAGGGACCGCAGGCACGGCACCTTTCCCCTCTGTCCTCCGGAAAATTCTGACTCGCTGCCGGGGGGAGGATGCCACAAGAAACAGGAAACACGTTACTGCATCCGCGCTGCCCGAGTATTTAACTGCCAGATTTTGCAGGGTAACAGCTCGCTTTGCTTTTATACTGGTTCCTAACGATCGTGTTTCAAACTCAAGTCCCAGTACCTGAACTTTCCTTTTATCCTTACCCTCTCCCCAACGTAACTCTCAACTGCTGTTCAGCAAAGGAAAAAAAAAAGTCAAAAAAGTCACATTGATGAGGAAGGCTAACTTCTGCTGATAAAAACCAGAGAAAAATAAAAACCGTTTGATGAAACCTCCTATGAATTATAAGAGGTAGCGGAAAAAAAACCAATCCCAAATCCCCACTTCAAGCGGCACGGATCCCAAACCTGTGAAGAGGGAAGGACCAGTTTGTCCACACAGCCCATTACACAGACCTACTAATGGAGACCAGGGACGGGAACCAGCGCAGGGCCACAGGGTTGAGCCACGTTTCTAAGCTGACAGCACCCTTGTGTTACCAAAAATCGTAACCAAGAAAACTCTCTAAACCAAATGGTAGTTTAGACTTGGACCCAAGGGTATGTTAAAATACTGCCAAAGTAGCATTCGACACCGCTGCCCTCCGAGGTGAGATCTGCCCTTCCTGCCCTGTTCCCACTTTGCCTCTCTCACCCATCCCAGTTTGCACCTTCTTTTCGTTTCTCAAACCCCGCGAGGTCTCGTCCAGCTGGGCCGGGTGGAGGGAACGCAGCGAGTGGCAATCTGGAGCGCTCCGTCTGGTGGCCAACTGTCCAAGTCAGCCCCCAAACAACGTCCCAGCTCCAATTTAGGCTCCCGAACACATGGTGCTCTTAGCACCCCTTGCTCCCATCCACCACCTTTTGAAATCCAAATTGCAATTCCAAGCTAAAAATACCAGAAGCAGAAAAACAGAAGAGCAGCAAACTAAGCTTCAAATGTGCTTTTTACTTTTACACCCCATCTCTGTGAGGCTTTTCCAGCCGATGGGAGGCCAGCACGGGACGACCCTCGTGAGCGTCCAGGAGCATTAACTCCTCCAAAGCCAACCTCCGCTCCGCCCTTGCTTCTGCCCTGCGGCAGGAGCCCGGGAACTCCAAAATCTGCCAGGAATCCTGAGCCTGGGGCTAAGCCTGCCCCGGTGCCTCCCCGGACAAGGCAGCCCGGGACTGGGAGCAGTCTGATGAGCAAGATGG